TGGTGAATTAGAACGATTCAGATTTAGATCTGGTTTGCTTGGCGCAAACTTATTTCTCTCTTTTCAGTGCACACGAAAAAACCATAGAAACTCTTTTGACTGTCCGCACATTGACCGGCAAAATTTCCCGATCTAACACCCATCGAACATATTTAACCAATTCCGCACAAACTGCTGCAATTATCCGGTTAAAAATATAGGAAACCTGCAAATTGCGTCAGATTCCAACCGGTGAGTTTCCCTATCAATTGGAGGGTGGAATAACAGCAGAAACACCACCAGGTGACCCGAATTCAATCGGATAAAGTCTATTTTTAGTTCGGGCGCATTGATTGACTTTAAAATTCCATGACGCAGGCAGAGATTATCAATTCAGCGGAGTTGAAATATTTAGTTGCAAAAGTCAAGGACCGCCAGCCAGGATATTGGGACAAGGGCTCTGTTGCTCAGCAACAGAGTTTGAGGCAATCACTTAGCAAATATAGAGTCATCCACTATTGCCCAATTTGAGTCTACAGAGTGTTTGAGCAATGAGGAAGGTTTAGTCGGCTAAATATTGAAAATGCCGCCAATCAGAAGTTTATGCTGATAAACGTAGTGAGTTTTTCAAAGAAAATTGCTTGTCGTTTTAGATAATCTGAGCTTGGAGTTTTACTGGAAACTACTAGTAAACTATGTGAGTTGTTTGAGCTGAGGGCCTCGATTGCGACCTAAGAAACGGCTCATTATGAATGGTCAGAGTGTTTGAGCAATGGAGGTATCGTCGGCGAAAGATTAAAAACGCCGCCAAAAGTTAGTTGAAAAAATTAAGAAACTAACGTGTTTTTCCATGAAAGTTGTTCATTGGTTTAGATATTTTGAGCGATATGAGTTTTCCTGGAAAATAATAAAAAGCTGTGTGTTTTTTTAAACCACCTAAAACAGACTGAATATGAATCTTCAGATTTCTTGAGCAGTGAGCAATGTATCGTCGGCTTAACGTTGAAAACGTCGCCTAAAATGCTGGGTTTTTGGGATCTGAAGAAACTGGCGTGTTCTTCATTGCAAGTAATAAATGGAAAGTAATACAGTACTAAAAGAAACTTATGGAAATATGTGCGTGTTTTTTGAGCTCAATGAGCCTTCGGCTTGAAAAGCGTCTCTACATCCATGCAAGGGGTTTAAGTGAATAGCACAGAAAATATGGTCGATTGAAAATCAAAACCCCTCAAAAATCGCTCTAAATCACCGTAAACGTTGATTCGCAATGATCCAAGCCAGTTTCTCATTCGAATTTTTGGGCATTTTGGGCGATTTCAATGCATTTGAACTGTTCGACCGTCTCAGCCACGTTCAGTTAAAACTACACGACCCGAATAGGAAATTGGCTCTCTCTATTCCATTAAAAATGCAGGTTAATGGCCACTCGCTTGTCGTAAACCAAAGGGAAAATGTCGATAGAGCGATTTTACCCAGTTTGCATTCTAAACTCGGCTTTTCATCTACTTACAGCGACTCGCTGACCTGAAGCTCGCCCATATCTTGACCGGATCCGATCAACTTTGCAAAAGCGAGCCGAATGGTACTCACTCCAGGGCCATTGTCCATCCAGGCTTTGTTTTCAATGGGAGAAATAAATAAAACTGGAACGAGCGCGATAGCGCATTGAACTCCGGAAGTTTTCACGCTGCCAGAATGCCGCCAGACAGGACAGAAACAAAACATAACCACGCGGTTAACGTCCACCATTGTCTCAGCTCGGGTTTCTGGATCGATAGTTTCCTACAATTTCCAGGTTACTCCAGACATAACTCGCAGTTTAAACGCGTTTAAAAGGAAACTGGCCAAATTGCGCTCAAATGTCTGCAATTAGTCTCACTGGTTTTTGCCCGACAAATCCTCCAAGCCGTTGCAGTTTCATGAAAAATTGCCAATTGCAGAATTGGAAAAGATTGTGCAAAAATTTCAACTAAACTCTATGAGTTTATGAGAGTTATACATTTGAAGCTTTGAAGAGCACAGTTTCAAAACCAACCACAAAAGCTTGTGAAGTACCTGCCTGGTTTAGGCCTGGGTCACACTGTGTTGAGTTGTGCTATTCAGTTGGTACCGCTCTCAGGGTTAACGAGTTATAGCACATCGCTTTATGAGTTATAAGTGATTTATTAGAGCTTTACGAAACCCGAGACTGGAATTTTCACATGTAAGAAAAAGGTCATCAACACTTTTTCCGAGTAACGTTTTACTACTTTGTTCAAACAACTAAAAAAAGTCATCTATATTTTCCAAGCAACACAACTCTGTCCAAAGAAAGTTAAATTTTTTGCATAAAAGATTCAGTGTGCCAGTATTTTACAGTAAAATTTAGGAAATACGCGGTTTTTCTGTTTAGAGACCGTGTTGTTTAGAAATATTGACCTGAAAGGGAAGAAACCCCAGTTTCCAAGAGTTTTCCAAATAAATGATTATAAACTTTCGCTCTTTCAGTTCGAGGAGATATTTTTGCAAAAAGAGCCAAAATTCTTTATTAGGGTTTTGTCCATAATTCGAAGCTGCAAAAAGTTTTCGAAAAATTTTTGCAAAGCTATAAATTTATCTTGTAATTTTTCGCGTAAAATATCTCCAGATCGTCAGTACTGTTAAGTGAAACACTTAACAAAATAGAGCGTTTTTGAGTGGAAAGTAAAGAAAAAAAATTCAATCAAAACTAAATAACCACATTTTTTTAACAAACTCTACAGTCTACAGTCTTCTGGAGGTGACGAAATTTCCAAATAATCTGTTATCAACTTTCGCTTATTCTGTTCGTCTTTTGATAGAAAATTGTTTAATTTTTCTTCCAAATTCGAAGCTGGAAAGAGATTTCAAAAGTTTTTACAAAGCGACGAAGAATTCGAAATTTATTTCGCATTTTTTGCGGAAAATACCTTAAGATTGTCAGAAAAAAAAAGAAGCATTTTTAAGTTAAACTTTAGAAAATTGAGAGTTTAGAAGAAAGAGTAACTTTGCTGAAACTGAAAAATTCTGAAATTTTGAAGAAATATTATTGATAAATGGCTCTTAAAAGAAATCCAAAATCAAGTAAAAAGTAATCAACATTTTCCCAGCAACGGACCTGAGTTGCTGCGCCGCTGCGTTGGGTTGACGCACCAAGCCATTTGCTCAGCACTGTGCCAAACCCTAAAAATTTATTGAGTTACCCAGGCCAAGAAGCAGGCATGTTTTTTTTGCAGGCATTTGGATTTTAAAGTTTGAGGAGCACAATTCAAAAACTAACCAAAAACCGCTTAGAAATTTTTTGTGAAACTCTAACAAAATAGAGCGTTTTTGAGTAGAAAGTAAAGCAAAAAAATCAGTCAAAACTACATAACCCCATTTTTTTTCACAAACTCTACAGTCTTCAGAGATATGGAGGTGACGAAATTTTCGTTATAAACTTTCGCTTATTCTTTTCGTTTATTGATAGAAAATTATTTGATTGTTCGTCCAAATTCGAAGCTGGAAAGGGATTTCAAATGTTTTTACAAAGCGACGAAGGATTCGAAATATATTTCATAATTTTTCGCGGAAAATACCTTAACATTGTCAGCAGTTTTAAGTGAAACTTTAGAAAATTGAGCCTTTAGAAGAAAGAGTAACTTGGCTAAAACTGGAAAATTCTGAAATTTTGAGGACATTTGAAAATATTATTAATAAATGGCCTTTAAAATAAATCTAAAAACGAGTAAAAAAAAGTAATCAGCATTTTCGAACTGAGTTACTTTGCCGATGTGTTGGGTTGGAGCACCAAACCATTTGAGTAGCACTGCGCCAACTCCTAAAAATGTACTGAGTTACCCAGGCCTAGCCTGGTTGAATTCTTGCCGTTTGTCCAATAAACTCTGTAAGCAGGCATGTTTTTGGATTTAAAACTTTGAGGAGCGCAATTCAAAAACTAACCAAAAACGGTGACAAATTTGTTAGCGACCTGCCTGGAGGCATGATTGCTGTTTGTCCACTAAACTTTTTAAACAGGCACTTTATCCGTGTTTCTTCATCAGAAGATTTGAAGAGTAGAATTAAAAAATTAACCACAAAAAGATTGACAAATTTGTCAAATACCTGCTTGGAGACATCATTGCGGTTTGTCCAATAAACTCCTTAAACAACCACTTCATGCATGTTTGTACATTTGAAGGTTTGAAGAGCACAATTCAAAAACTAACCAAAAAATGCTGACAAATTTGTGAAATACTTGCTTGGAGGCCTGAATGTGGTTTGCCCAATAAACTCCTTAAATCAGCAATTTATGCATGTTTATGCATTTGACGATTTGAAACGCACAATTCAAAAACTAACCACAAAAACTTCCTGCGGGGCCTGCCTGCATGCAGGGGTGCCGTTTGTTCATGAAAATCCTTAGTCAGGCAATAATCGCAATTTAAGCGGCCCTCTGTCAGGATGGGGCGCCACTGATCTGCTGCAGAATGAGTTTCATAATCAGCTAATCTAAATAAAATGCGATTAGAGCTGAAATGCGGCCGGGTAAATATGATAAATTGCACTTTTTTGGACGTAACCGTGTTGCGCTCGAGAACATGTTCGCCACATTAATCATCAGCTGGCTCACTTATCACCAACAATTATGTGCATTTCACCTCGACTAATTTAAAGTGAAATATTTAAAATTGCCTAGTAAGTAATCGTCAATCAATCGAATTCAATTCGGGCTTTATGGATATGGATTAATGTTCGGTTTGGACCGAACATTGCGCGCAACTGCAAGGGCAAAATATCAATAAATAACTCATTACAAACCTCATGTGCGGAGCAGATTTAAGTAATTTTACAAACAAATTATAGAGGATTTTCCGATTAAGCTAGTGAGTGAGTTTACTCGAAATGGTCTAACCTCTGAAAGCTCGAAGCAACAATCAGGGAAATCCACTTGAAATACCTACCCAGCAATAACAGCAAGCAAATAATTCATATTTAAACAATTTTTTGGACAAAGTCTCAAGCACCCTGCTTGGTACACTTACCTTTGCAGACAAAGTCCGTTGGTGCAAACAGTGGCACCGGAGCTGGTGAGGAAGGATTTGGGCAAAGACATGGATCGCTGTTGAGCCACCAGCTGACCGGAAGGCAAATCCTGCATGGGAGCGCTTCCTGGACGCGCCATTACATTCCGTGGAATTTCTGGATGAGAATCGACTGGAGTGGAGGCTCGCGATCCTTTGCGGGACGACGCTCTTGAGGCGCTCAACCAGACGTCGCTCCCTGAAGAGGAACCGCTCACGTTGCTGGTCCGAGGCGAGTTTTTCCGATCGAGTGCCTGGCAAAGTGTTAGTGTCCTCAAATTTTCCAATAAAATTCATCGTCTTGCGTAGCCGCGAAACGGCATTTCAATTATGGTTAACAATTAGTTGCACATGAAGTGAAACACTTGCGGGCGATAATTAAATTCATGTGCTGGTGTTCGCATGTTCAATTAAAATAATGAAAACACATCGGCCCCCCAGAGGAAATTAATTAGAAAAATTTACGGGGAAAATCGAACAGAGTTTACTTTCCGGCGCGGGAAACGTGTCGGACGTGCTTGCAGATCCTCAATGTATCTACTAATTACATAAGCGCTACAATGTTTAGTAAACCATATAACTGCGGTTAATAGGCGTAATTAGTGCGATACAGATTAATACGACAATCACAGCTTTGTCTGGCTAAAGCGTGGCTAATCGATGCCTTAGGATGCACTTTTAACGCATTCGTTTGTGGATTAATCCACAATTTAACCTCTAACGAACTGAAGGCAATTTTTTGCTTTAATCTCAGAAAACGTTGAAAATATTATATAAACTACACAGATTTTTGTAGAAGACCGTTTTGCGGACTAACTTTACCAGCTATGTTTAACCTCTAAAAGTTACAAGAAAAATTTCGTAAACGTTCAAGATTTTTAATTACATCTAGAAAACCACATAAAATACCCGAAAATCTATCAATACATTTTCGTAAGCTCTTCTTGTCGCCGGCATTTTTTTGCCTTTGCAAGTGATAGTCAAATTCCTAACCTCTAAAACAATATAAGCCAATTTTGGGCAATCATCGAACATTTTCCCTCGCCATTTTAAAATGATAGACTAAATCCTTTATTGGAACTTTTTCGATTAAGCGTCTCAAAATATATTTTCTCTCATAACACTGTATCGGACACACCTAATCTCTAAATCGATAGAATCAAAGTTAGGTTAATTCTAGATGTTTTTATATATACGGCAAAAACTGCCAAAAATATTCGCATTAAAAGTTTTGATGAACGCGATTTTTAGATAAAATTTTTGAAAATTGCTTGTTGCGGCGTTGCCGAGCTGTGCAAATAATCGCTAATGAGAGCTTTTAATCAACGACTTTGCCTGCACTCTTAACGGATTAGTAAAAGTCAAGTAGCTGAAGCCAATTTCTTATTTAATTCTAGAAAATTGGCGATAATATGAAACAAATTAGCTTACCTATGGGTTTACTATGGGTTTTGCCAATTAGCTTTAACCTAAAAGTTCAACCTTTAAAAGCTCTAAGCAAAATTTTCTACGGTTAATACTTTTGCTAAAAGTTAGGAAACCGCTAAAGTACATAAAAAACGATGGAAACTTTTTGAAAGCGCTTTCCGTCATCCATATTTTACTTGCACGAATTTATTGCCAATTCTTAACCTCTAAAGCGATAGAAGCCACTTTGGATCAATGATCAAATATTTTAATTCGAAAACCGTAGAAAATATCGAAATATGTATTAGAACGTTTTTCATAGAGCGTCTCAAGAGCAACTTTTCCTAATTAACCGCCATCAGATCTACCTAACCTCTAAAGAAGCAAACTTAGGATAATTCTGGAATATTTCCAATTATATCGTAAAAATTGTCGGAAGCATCACAACAATCGTCGCTTTTAGGTAAAACCAAGCAAAAGTTTCTTGTAGCGTTGCCAAGCTGTGAAAAATATCCCTAATAAAACGTTAGAAGGTTATGCGCAAACTTTTAAAAACGTTCAATAGTTTCGATAACTTCTAAAACACTACCAGATTGACCAACTATTTTTCCATAGCCTGGTACTTGCTAGATATTATGGTAAATTCCTAACCTCTAAAATAATAAAAGCCAAATTTAGGCAATCATCGAAGATTTTGATTCATAACTCGAAAACCGCACAAAATATCTAAACTTTCATTAGCACCTTTTGCTAGAACGTCATCAGACCTACCTAACCTCTAAATCTAGAGAAGAAAACTTAGATTAACTGTTGAATATGTCCACTTATGTCGCAAAAACTGGTGGAAATATTCCCAGCAGTCATTTCTATGGGTGGTGTTCTTGGTAAAATTATAGAAAATTGTACTCGGCAGTGTAGCCAAGCTGTGCAAATAATACCCAAAAACTGTTTTTGGCCAAAAATCTTCGGCGATTTCCAACGAATATTTCGTATTTCGCATCTGACCTTTTCAATCAATCGACTTCCAGCGTTTGCTTAAACCCTTCTATAAGACGCCTTTTTTCACTAATTTTCAATCTAAATTGGTGCGTGTTCATTAGGGAGCAGAAATTCCTGAAATATCAGCGATCGACTTTTTGGCGCGTGGAAATTCAAGCGATTTCGCCGGCTTAATGAATGTTGAATGAGCCCGATTAATTCAATAATATCCGTCCTTTCTTTAAGCTAAAAAGTCCAAGTTTGCTGGAAAATGTCCAAATTCTATGCATGATTTTACCAAACATTAAAGATATATATAAAAACGATGCAACGTTACACACGTACGTACGAAAAATGCACTCTGCCTACATGTAAAGAAGAAGGTACAAAGTGAAACAGTTCTATCCTACCAAAGAAAAGACAGACTTTCAAATGTTGATTATGTAAGGATGATTTGTACTCAGTAATAGGGACATTTCAGTGGTTCTAAATGAGAAAATTCCTGGAAAAAACGCAATCAAAACTACTGGGGGAAGTTCTAGTCTACGCAAACAATCGGATCTTGTGGGGGCAAAATGGACGGAAAATAGAATCGGCCAGGCATTTCACTTATCTCCAATAATCCGTTTACTGCCTCAATTAGTGTCTTGTGTAGCTGAAATGTTTTTAATATAAATGTCAGCGAGATTCCTTTATTCCGTTTTCTATTATTGAACGAGCAGGCGAAATGCCTTGAAAGAGCTGGGAATTGTCGTCGAAAAAGAACGTGTATTTGAGGAACAGGTTTTGTGGAAAATCTGGGAATGTTTCCTTAATGCAACTAAAGCTGTCTATAGACAGGACAGATACTTATAGAATCCCGTCGAATTGCCAGCGGAAATAAGCTCATAAATTCGGCATTTAAGTGTGCGAAAATCACTGTAAAATACTCCAGAAAATATAAATTTTTTGTTTTAAAACTCCACAGTGCCATTTTCCAACTGGACAATGTGGGACGCAGTCGAGAGCAAGAAAAACCCTCCCAACTTCCTTGAATGCAAAGCTATAGGCAAAAATTGCAATTAACTAAAACATCTAATTTCAGTTAGTGCTTGATTGAGCCAAGCAAAAAAAATCATCTTGACCACACATTTTTTTCGGGCACTTTCTAGACTCGATGATAAATATTTCAGCTCGTTCAAAGCACACGATCGACTTCACTCCGTACATTGGGCGGCTAAACGGATTATTTGGACAATTCAGCAGGCCAAAACACGAAAAAAATACAAATCACCCACGCAAAACAGTCCAGTAGTGCTAAAAGGGTTTTACCAAAGACAAAGTTTGCTTTAAAACAGTTATAATATTGCACGAAGATTTTTTCAGTGTTTAAATGCAGTGAAATTAAGCTTCAATTAAAGTTTCTTAAGCTTCAAAAGGGCCTTTTCTCAGTAGCTTGTAGTTCATTTTCAATATGGGTCTTTCCAGGCAAACAAACCACGTGGATTTAACGTGATATGAATATTAAAACCGTATTTTATTAATAAATCAATTTTGTTTCATTCATAAATTTGTACGAAAATGTGATTCAAATGACGTTCAAACAACGTTTTTATTTTGACATTAGTTCGCTTCTTTTTATTCACGCCATGTGCATGTAAAAATGTGACCAAAAATCGACGTCTATTCATATTTTTGTTTTCCTGCGTTTTCCTGATATTTTATCACACAAAGAGAAGAAACTGAATATAAATTTGTTGAGCATTCAGTCTGCTCTCTTTTAGGTTATGAGCCTTAGAATTCAAGGTAAAATCGGACTTGGTGAGCAAAGTGCAGCTCTTTCAATTTTTGACGCTAAACAAAAGCAAAATTTGTATTTTCTACTCAAAATTCCCTGAATTTGAAAACTCCAAACGTGAAACATGAAAATATTACCAAAATCCTTCAATCAATTTGCTTTAACTCGAAACTCCGAGTCTAAACACAAGATTTTAACTTGAATGAGGTGAAAACTCAAACATCAAACTTCAACGGTATCTATAAAATTCCCTCAATTCCCGTGGCTCTATTGAAAGTTTGTGGAAAAACTTTAAACTGTCGACTTTGGATTCTAACTCCAAACTTTCGCCTCTGAACTGTAAATATTGACTCTCTAAACTCAAAGTGATGAAGAATGCAAAAAGTAATTCAAGTTGAAGAACCAGGAACGCCGAAATTTCAGCTAAAAAAATTAGGTTTCTCTAAAGTCGAAAGTTGGCTCGTTAATTCAAAGTAGCCTGCATTTAACTGAAGAATATAGAAATAAAGTCAAAGAAAATTGAAGACCGGCTTAAAAAAAATTGAAGCGGATGCACACTGAAAGCAAAAAGCAGATGAAAATCCGGAGGAATATTGGTGTTTAGACCTCGAAAGTCTTTCTAAACTCGAAATTTCGCCCATTAATTCAAAACAGTCGCATTAAACCGAAGAATCTATGAATCAAATCGAAGAAAGTTGAGCACTTAAGTCTTGAAGCGAATGATGAATGAATGAATATATCTTGAAGCGAATGCAAATTGGATGCAAAAAGATGATCAAGAACCGATGGAACGTCGGTGCTTTGACCTCGAAATAGTCTCTCAAAACTCGAAATTTAGTTCTTTCATTCAAAATTCTCGAATTAAAGTGAAGAATAGAAAAAGCCAATGAACGAAAATTAAGGACCTACTTAAAAAAATTAAAGCGAATTCAAATTGGAAGCAAAAATACAATAAAAATACCGATGGAACGTCGGTGCTTTGACCTCAAAAGAGTCTCTCAACACTATAAATTTCGTTCTTTCATTAAAAGCTCTCATATTAAAGTGAAGAATAGAGAAAGCAAAACCAGATGAAGAACCGAAGAAACGCCAAAGCTTTGACCTCTAAAATTGAGTCTCTCTAAATGCGAAATTTTTCTTCTGGATTCAAAACACCCGCATTAAACTAAAGAATAATTAAATCAAATTGAAGAAAATTGAAGGCCGACTTAGAAAATTGAAGCAGATGCAAACTGGAAGCAAAAAGACGATAAACAACCGAACGAACGTCAGTGTTTTGACTTAACAAATTGAGTCTCTCATAACTCGAAAATTCGATCTTTCATTCAAAACACTCGTTTTAAAATGAATAATAGAGCATGCAAATTAACGAAAATTGAAGACCCACTTAAAAATTGAAGCGAATTGTAAAGTGGAAACAAAAAGCAGCTCTAAACGCGTAATTCTGCCTCTGGGTTGGAAACACCCGCACTAAACTAAAGAATAAATAAATTAAATTGAAAAATATTGAAGGCCGAGTTAGAAAATTGAAGTAGATGCAAAGTGGAACCAAAAAGAGGATGATAAAGAACCGAAAGAACGACGGTGGTTTGACTTAAAAAATTGAGTTTGTCTCAACTCGAAATTTCGCTCGTAAATTCAAAACACCCACACTAAACCAAATAAACGAACAAAAAGTAACTGAAAGAAAATTGAGGACGGATTTCAAAAATTGAAGCAGTTGAGAAACCCGAGGAAAATCTGTGTTTCTTACTTAAAAAATCTAGTTCAACGAAGACTCCCTCAAATCGGGAAATGCAGATATTGAAAGCAAATTCCTGATCTTCGTTTTTCAATTTCGACATATAACCGCAAAAAACTAAAGAAATTAAAAAAAAAGGCAAAAACTGAAAAATTAGGGCAAACCGAGCCTCTAAAGTCCTGACAACTGGAGTTAGGGCAACTGTCTGCACTTTTTCAAACACCGCACGTTTATTCGGCTCAATCGAGCCGGATATTCGCCAAAAAATGCAATCAGGCCGCTAGCGGCGATTAAATTGGCCGAGTATTTCCGGACAGGTGAAAGCAAACAAAAAACACTGAAAGCTGTGCAATATTATAACTGGGGGGCCGTTGAAATATTTAGAGAGCAAACACTGCAACAGCAAATGTCACTGCTAACAAATACAGTCTGCTCAATAAATACCTGAAACCCACCCACATACATACTCAAACACACACACACACACAAACTATTAGTGCGTGTGTGGTTCCTTGGATGGATCGAGCTGATTTAGTGTGCGAGAGCCATGACAAAAACAGCACTCGGATTATCTGGGTCTAGCAGCTCACCTGACCAGCATCAGAATGGCAGCGAATTGCAGTGTTCGTGTTTGAATTTTGTGTGGTGGTTGATTGACGAAGATGAAGACAAAGGGTGGCGGAAGAGCGCCGCTCTAGGGCATACTCGGGTAGCCGAAACACTGGCCGAGATTTTTTCTCATTTTCATTAAGTTCTGACTCAGTACCGAATTTTGTCTATACAGTTTGCCCTTTTGTTCATTCTGCTGATACTTCAGCAGGTACCAGTCATTAGGGAACTGTAAGTTGAAAACAAATCAGCATCGGTTCACTATCACATCACTATCATTGGTGATATGATTTGATTTGTGGTGGTGTGATACATGATGATGCCATTCGAGTCAAGAGTGCAATTTTTATCAAATCCCCAACTCGGATATATAGAGGCGCGTCAATTTGAGCCTCTTTGCCCGTCCGCCGAAAAAGATAATATTGCTCGAGGCACGAATAATGGGGAACAGAGCACGAGTGAAATTGGATTGTGATGTAACTGTCGAAGGGCGACACTTTTCCCCTTAAGCTCTAGTTTAACGCGCGGTTTCAATCGATTTCACCAAATAAATTGCGCACAAATTTACCAGAACCTTGACCGAGAACTAGTTCTCAAATTGACACCTCTCTTGATATGATTGTTTTTTCATTATCTTTCCCCCGATGCGAACAGCTCGAGAAAAAATCGCGAAGCTCTAATCTTTAGGTCGCAACAACAACTCCATTATGAAAACGGTGCCAATAGAGGAAGAGAAGAGGAAATATGTGGTAGGCGCAATCTAGTTGATCGATATAAGTCAGTTTACCGGCATTTCCGTCGATCCGTTCCGTCTCATGCTGCTGCCTGTAGCTGGCGGTCGGCTCGGGCTGATCCTTCGTAATTCCTGCGGCTTCCGATTCCTGCCCTCCATGTCGTTGCGCCTCTTGAACTGGTCCTGCGATTTTTTCTCAATCACCGTTCCCGTCGATCTGCATTTAATTACACGCAATCAGTTCATTGCACATGAAACTTTTAATCTCAGCAATCACCCATTCATACGCGTAAGTGATACACTAAAGTAGTGTGTAGAGGGAAGAACACACTGAATGTTTATGTGGAACAAGGATACACACCAAACCAGTTTACGTTCATTTTGCAAAAATCTTGCCTTCTTCAGGGTTTGGAAGTTTAAGGAAATGCTACTGGTAGTTTGATGGATTCCAAATTTGCAACGTTGTTAGCTTGCGCTCCAAGCCATTTATGGAAAAAAATCAATTTTCTGCCATATTCCGAAGAGTCGATAGGGTTTCTTCAATTTGAACGGATTTTTGCCAATAATAATTTCCCAAAAATCACCCAAAATAATTGGGTGATTTTTTTCTGATGCACTTATACCTTGGAGCTTTGGAAATTTACGGCAAAAATAGCAAGTTTCTAGCTGCTTTTGCTGAAATGGCAAGCATTTTTAAAATTATGTGGCCTATTGATGGTTTTGCAATTGACAACACTAGCTTCTGGCTGCTTGGGTTGAGCCTGCATGAATTTTTTTATTAAGCCTGCATTTAAAAAAAAGTGATTTTGTAGGAGAGCTTGGAATTTAATGTAAAGTGATTCGAATGCTCGATGATCTTAAAATTTTCCACAGTAATAGCCTGAAGCTTCGGCAATTTTCCGCAGAAACCACAAGTTTACAGCTGCCAGAAATTGTGCAAATTAGGATTGTATTTTGAAAAATGATGATTTTGTGAATTAAATTGGAATTTTATGTATAATCAACCGGGTACCCGACAGTTTAAAAATTTTCGTATTGATAGCGTGAGGGCGTGGCTTTTTGAGAAAAAAATAAGTTTCTGTTTTCTTGTCTGTGGGTCAGTTTAAAATTTTATTTTAGCACTAATAGTTTTCGGTTCTAGCAACTTATTGCAAAAATAGCAAGTGTCTGTATGTTTTTTTTAAATTTGATTCATTTTGGCGAAGAGTGATTTTGTGGCTCAGTTTGGAATTTTCTAAAAAGTAGCCTGAACCTCAATTTTTGTTCCAGATTATAAAATAAATAGTTTATGGCTCCATAATCTGTACGATAAAAGTTAAAGTCTCTTTCTGCTCTATTCAGTAGGAACGAATTTATGGAACCTGCCAATTTGCGGTATCCTTTTGAAATTTTCTGGAAAATGAACCCGAGGGTCAGTTCTATTCCAGTTTACAAAATGTGTAGATAATTGCTTTCAGATCTTTGATAAAAATACACAATGCTCCACCTCATGTTGCCTAGTGAGACCGAATTTTTGAATCCTGGTTTGCATTTTTAGCAACGCGTCATGTTTTCCTTTAATTAGGAACTTTCTGGAAAATAAGCCTGATACTCGATTGTCTTTCCTCTTCAAAAAGTTTCTAGGCAAAAAAATTTTCTGCAGGGAAAAAATCAAATTTTCAACTGTTGTGGTTAAGTCTGGACGATTTTTAAAAATATTTTCCAGTTATTTTATCTAGTTGAAATTTACAGCATCAATAGTTAATAATAAATTTGCACAAATAATCAAGATCCTTTCCTTTCCAAGAAGCTTTGAAAATTTACGGCAAAAATAACAAGTTTCTACCCGCTTTTGGTGAAATGGTAGACATTTTAAAAATTAGGTCTGCAATTTGAAAAACATTGATGTTGTAGACGAGTTTGGAATTTTATGGAAAAATGTACGGCCCCTTGATGGATTTGCAATTTATAGCACAAATTTTGTGGCTGCTTGAGTTGAGCCTCTATTAATTTTTTCATAAACCCTGCATTTAAAAAAAATGATTTTGTGGGAGAGTTTCGAATTTAATGTAAAGTGCTTCGAATGCTCGATGATCTTAAAATTTGCCACAGTAGTCTGAGGGTTCGGCAATTTTTCGCAAAAATTACAAGTTTCCGTTTGCCAATTTTCAGTTGCCAGAAAATTTTCAAATTATGATTGCATTTTAAAAACAATTATTTTGTGAATTAATTTGGAATTTTATGAATAATCAACCGGGTATCCGATAGTTTTAAAATTTTCAATTTGCGCTATTTGCGGACAAAAAAACAAGTTTCTGTCTGCTTGTGTTGAGTCAAATCAATTTGTTAATTAAGCGTGCATTTTGGAAAAACAGTGATTTTATAGGTCACTTTCAAATTTTACTTTAGCACTGATCGTTTGAAGTTTTTGTGCCAGGCATTTTTCAAATTAATTGCATTTTGAAAAATAATGATTTTGTGAATTAATTTAGAATTTTATGAATAATCAACCGGGTATTCGGTAGTTTAAAAAAAATTCGTATTGATAGAGTGAGGTGTTGGCTATTTGTGGGCAAAAAATTAAGTTTCTGTCTGCTTGTGTTGGGTCGCAAATAATTTTGTTAATTAAGCGTGCATTTTGGAAAACTAGCGATTTTGTGGTCAGTTTAAAATTTTATTTTGCCACTGATAGTTTGCGATTCTAGCAATTGAGAGCAAAATAGCAAATTTCTGTATGTTTTTTTTTAAGTTGTATTCATTTTGTCGAATAGTGACCTTGTGGGTCAGTTTGAAATTTTCTGAAAATGAAGCCTGAAGCTCAATTTTTGTTCAAGATTATAAAATAAAACGTGTACTGTAAACAAAAAACTGTACGATAAAAGTTAAAATATCTTTCTGCTCTATCCAGTAAGGACGAATTTTTGAAATATGTCCTGAATTTATATAAACCTGCCAATTTGCGGTCTCCTTTTGGAATTCTTTGGAAAATGAGCCCGAGGATCAGTTGTATTCCAGTTTAAAAAATGTGTAGGTGATTGCTTTCATATCTTTGATAAAAGTACACAACGCTCCACCTCCTCTTGCCTAGTGAGACCGAATTTTTGATACCGGGTTTACATTTTTAGCAACGCATCATTTTTTCCTTTAAATTGAAATTTTCTGGCAAATAAGCCTGATACGCAATTGTGCTTTCTCTTCAAAAAGTTTCTAGGCAGAAAAGTTTTCTGCAGAAAAAGAATCAAGTTTCCAACTGCTGTGGTTAAGTCTGGACGATTTTTTAAAACTTGTCCCGCTATTTTATCCAGTTGAGATTTACAGCATCGATAATTATAACCGTTTGTAACTCGGAAAAAAATTCAGGGCTCTATCTGGTCTGGTTCAAAAGTGCTAAACTTGTGAACTGCAGCCTGTATTATTTGGAAACTCGCCATAACCACTCCTAATTTGAAAGTTTCTGGAACATTATCCGGGTTTGTATCTATTTCAAATTGAAAGCGTCAGTAATAAAAAGCTTTTGTAATTCGTAAATAAAATTTGAAGGCTGCACCTATTCAGGTTCGAAAGCGGGAAAATTTTGAGCCAGAACCTGCATCATTTGGAAACTTGTCATTTTCGCCCACAATTGATAATTTCTGGAATCCGGTTTTTCCATCTTATTCCCATTTGCACTGATAATTAAGAGATTTGAAAACTTATAGAACATTTTGTACAGCCGCAGCTGCTTTTTTTGCCAAAGCGCCTTTTTTTTCGATAGAGTCGCATTTTTTTTAACAACCCAAGCCATTCAGTTCAGATCCACTGAATTTACAGGCGGAAGCAAAACTTATCTAATCCACAGCCCCATCAGGTGATTTAGTTTTAAAAAATTCCAGCACTCTAACGTGATTACCGTCACGATATTGTAACTTCTGAGACTTTACCTGCTTGAGTCAGTAGTGGCGAGCGACTCAGACGACCTCTGATGCGAAGAGGGATAACTCTGCGAGGACCTCATCACAAAATGAGACTCACGGCCCGTACTGTCCCTGTGGACGCAGTGAGGCCAAAAGTCGCAAATCTCCGGACTGCAAGCAGCCTTTCCCTCAAAACTCTTCAAGGTGTGCTCGAAACTGCTCTTGCTCGACGGCAAGCTCGGACTCGTCGCCCCACGAAGCAGCACTCTTTGCCTCTCGTTCCTGCTGTTGCCCACATAGTAAACAGTCAGCTCGTCCTTCAGTGCTGGCTTATTCGCCTCCTTGTTCTTCTCCTCCAGCGAGATGTTGTTGTTGTTGTATCTGACAAGGAGCACAAAAAAACAAAGGGTGAACCATCCCATCCCGAAAGCTCCTTACAGTGTAGGGAATACACTTTGACCGTGACGAGAGTCGTTGATGAACTCACCTGTGCATGAGCAGAGCTTGAGCGGCCGCTCGCGATCGGTTCCCATAGAGGAAGCCCGTAACCACTTCAGCCTCCCTCAACAGTTCCTGCTCGCGCAGCTCCGCTGCAGGAGACACGGTGCCATATTGAGCCCGCTCCGAGGGAAGAGGATATTGGGGCCTCTCGGCTGGCGCCACCTTGAGCACCACTTTGTGCTGCTCAGAATACTGCGGGGAGAGCTTCTGAGCCCGCTCAAAAGTGGGGGGCTGCCGCTCAGGCAACTGTAAGCTTCGGGAGCGCCTCACTCTCGATAGGGAGTCGTTTTGCGCTTGCGCCTGCACTGGCTTGGAGGACTGGAAGGGGCGGTTGGGAAGATTACGCCTGATCACCGTAGCGTGTTGAGGAGTGGGCGGCGACCGGGAAAGAAACTCATTACTACTGGAGGAGGATGAAGCTGGGGAAGTTCTGGCTTCCGATCCGGACGGGGATCGTCGTGGTTGATTTCTGAAATAGAATCCGTATATTTTAAGGATTCGATATACCGAGAGTCAGAGATTAGTAGATAGCCGATGCTAGTCAGTTATAAGTAAATACCGAGGGTTTGTTAAAATTATTATTCTCATTAGCAAATTTGAAGTTTTATGTGTTCCTGTTATAAAGTACAGGATAGGCATGTGACTGTGTTGTTGGCCTGGGTTACTCAGCGAATTTTTAGGAGTTAGCGCAGTGTTACGCAAATGGTTTGGTGCGCCCACCCAACGAACCGACGCAGTAACTCAGTTCCGTTGCTGGGAAAATGTTAATTACTTCTTTTTAGGTTTATTTTAAGGGCCATTTATTAATAATATTTTTTAAGTTTCTTAAAATTTCAGAATTTTCCAGTTTTGGCCAAGTTACTCTTTCTTCTAAATGCTCAATTTTCTAAAGTTTCACTTAAAAATGCTGACAATATTAAGGTATTTCCCGCTCAAAATTATAAAATAAATTTCGAATCCTTCGTCGCCTTGTAAAAAGTTTTGCAATCCCTGTCCAGCTTGGAATTTGGAGCAAAAATAAAATCATTTTCTATCGAAAAACGAACAGAATAAGCGAAAGTTCAAAACAGATTATTTGGAAATTTCGTCACCTCCATTCCTTTGAAGACCGTAAAGTTTGTTAAAAAAATGTGTTTTTTTAGTGTTGACTGATTTTTTTTCGGGACAAAAACGAAAATAAATTCCTCCCGTTTTTTCCCGAAAACCATTAAGGTTTTCTCAAAAACCGATCACAAAACTAAAAGTTTTTAATCGAAAAATGCAAAAAACGTTATTTTCTGATGATTTTCTTCTTTTCTGACAATAATGGGGTCTTTTCAAATTCGAAGCTGAAGAGGGTTTTCTAAAGTTCCCTGCAAATCGATGACTGAGGCGAATTTTATAGAAAAATCAATGTGGTAATTTTTGGCTGAAAAGACCCCATTATTGTCAGAAAAGAAGAAAATCATCAGAAAATATTTTTTTTTGTGATTTCGATTAAAAACTTTTAGTTTTGTGATCCGTTTCGGAGAAAGCCTTAATGGTTTTCGGGGAAAGACGGGAGGACTGCATTTTCGTTTTTCTCCCGAATTAGACACTGAAAAACAGGTTTTGTAAAATTTTTATAAAGCTATAAATTTATCTTGTAATTTTTTGCGTAAAAGACCTCCAGATCGTCAGCACTTTTAAGTGAAACTCTACAAAATAGAGCGTTTTTGAGTAGACAGTAAAGGAAATTTTTTTTTGTCAAAACTAAAACACCGCATTAATGCTCTACAGTCTTCGGAGGTATGGAAGTGACAAAATTTCCAAATAATCTGTTATAAATTTTCGGTTATTCTGTTCGTTTTTTGATAGAAAGTTATTTGCTTTTGTTTCAAATTCGAAGCTGGAAAGGGATTTCAAAACTTTTTACAAGGCGACGAAGGATTCGAAATTTATTTCATAACTTTTCGTGGAAAATACCTGAAGTTTGTTAGCATTTTTAAGTGAAATTTTAGAAAATTGAGCATTTAGAAGAAAGAGCAACTTGGCTAAATCTAGAAAGGTCTGAAATTTTGAAGAACTTTTAAAAATATTATTAATAAATGGCCCTTAAAATAAATCTAGAAACAATTAAAAAAACTATATTGTTGAGGCGGATTCATTTTTTACAAACTTCTTTTTGGGTATTTCGCCTCAAAAATTTTTGTCTTTAAAAAAGACAGAATTTCCTCACGT